AGGTTAGCAAAGTCCACACTGAGTTCTTTCCATGGAGCTGCTGGGAGTGGTGACATCTGTAGGGGTTCTCTCTTGCATTTAGGAGTAGTGATCAGGCATGCGCTGCATGACCTAACCTTGCTTTCCACCAGTTTGTCGATGTTCGGGAACCAGACCTTCTCGCGCAATAGAGACTTGGTTTTTAAGAGCCCTTGATGGCCTTAATGCGCTAGGTTAACCACGTGTTCCTGTAAACTCTTTGGGATAACTATGCGGGTTCCACGCAGAATGAGGTTGCCTGATGCACTTACCGCTAGCTCGTCCTTCACTCTTTCTAGGAGTCGAAACTCGGTAGAGTTGACACCAGGGCGTTTGACTACAAGGTGCCAGTTGCCTTTCACGATAGCCTCGGCTATGCCTTGAAGGGTGGCATCGGCTCGAGTAGCTGCTTCGATGTCTTGTGTCTTCAGAGCTTTGGGAGTCGAGGTAGTCGCTAGGTAATTGATGTACTCCTCTGCTATCTTCTGCTGCTGGGTCGTTTGGGCTGCATTCTTTGCTGGGTGCCGTGACAAGTAGTCTGCCGGGTTTGTTTCACCTCTACTATACTTGACTGTGATCTGATATGGCAGAAGTCTTAGTGCCCATCTTTCAATTCGTGCGGGAGGCTTAGAACTTGGATTGCCATAGATGGTCACCAGGGGTTTGTGGTCTGTGGAGACTGTAATAGGCTTCCCATAGACATACAAGTGTAAGTGCTCGCAAGCCCAAACCACGGCGAGGGCCTCCCGTTCTGTTTGGCTGTACCGCTGTTCGGTTGCTGTAAGGGAACGACTTGCATAGGTGACCACATGTCTTTCTTCGGTCTTCTGGTCGACTTGTGAGAGAATGGCAGCTAAGCCCACTGGACTGGCATCAACCGAGATTTCTGTTTCCTCTTCCTTTTCCTTTTTGCGCTGGATAGTGCTTCTCTCAGCTGGTTAACTGCCTGGTCGTGCTCTGTTGTCCAACACCACGGTTGGTCCTTGTGGGTCAGCTTGCGTAGGGGTTCAGTTTTAGTGGCGTAATCTGGGATGAATCTTGAACAGTAATTTGTCATCCCCAGCAGGCTGCGAACCGCTGATGCTGAGGATGGTGTCGAAAGATTGACCACTTCTTCAACTTTCTTCGGGTCTGGTACTATGCCATCTCTAGAGAACACGTACCCAAAGAACTCCAACTTGTCTTTCCTGTACTCACACTTGCTCTTGTTGAGGGTCAGGCCTTTCTCTCTTAAACGCTGGAAGACAGCCCTTAGGTTCTGATCATGTTCTTCGTGTGACTTGCCAAAGACCAGGATGTCGTCACTGATTTTTTTTGCACCATCAATGCCTTCCAGAGTCACTCGGATCACATTTTGGAAGATTTCAGCTGCACTTGATATTCCAAAGTTGAGACGCTTGCAGCGCATTAAGCCCATGTGGGTACCAAAGGTGGTGATGTATCGGGACTCCGGTGCCAATTCGAGCTGGTTGTAACCCTGGTTAAGATCTAGTTTGGTAAAGACCTTAGCTCCGTTCAAGTCTCCAATCATCTCTTTGATAGTGGGTGTGACGTGACGCTCGCGTCTTATCGCCTTGTTCGCCTGGCGCATATCCACGCACACGCGTACCTTGCCTGGAGATTTTCGCTTCGGAGCTACCACTATAGGAGACACCCAGGGTGTGGGGCCTTCGA